TGGTTCTAAAGATTTAACGGTATTAATTGGAAGCGTATTGAAACATCAATAAAATACTACATTGAGTTATATAGTTTTAACAAAATAAGCTACATTATATCTTTAGTTGTTTTAAAAATGATGTCACATTTAATATTATTTCATCAAGATTGAAATAAGGGTCCATTGAGGAGTCGGCTAAATCATAATTAGTTCGAATAAGTAATTACTTTTCGATTGATATATAAAAATCCAAGAAAATGCGAGTTCCAATTTCTTCCAGCACAGAAAACGTTAAATATTATGAACTTTTGTAAACTTAACTACTAGTTTATCTGTTCATTATACACAATGTTTCTACTTAAGTCTATTAATTAATCGTCGCTTTTTTTCTTCTTGGGGTTTAAATAGTTTAATCTTATTGAAATGTAATATATTTTAAAGTTGGGGTTTGTTAAATCAAACGTTGTTTAAAAATGTCCTTGAAAAGTCAGCAGAAATATGATTGTCGATTACCAGTTTTGTTTAGTCTGACAAAGTAAATGGTGATATTTTATTTTTTAGTTTAATCGCACAAAAATGAAGTCTGATACGTATATATCTTTAGAGTCAAATTTTCTTATTCTAACACGAAAATCTTTTCGAAAAAAGTTCATAAAAAAAATAATTATTTTTATAATAATTTGTTTTTTTTCATTGAACATTTTGTAAAAACTCCAGTTTGTTTCATTAAATAAATAAGAGAATTATTCACCAAACTTCAATATACATAATTTTTAGGAGAAAAAATGTAATAACGTAATTATTTTTTCTGATTATTCATCAAATTAGGCGACAACCATTACGCTCTCAGTGTTAGGTTTCTATCTTCAAACAACGAAATTCTTTATTACATGAAAGTTGCGTGACTACAAGAGAGTTCGTAAGATTACATTTCTAGACTGTGCGTGTTTTAAATGAATTTAAGAAAGTCTTGGTAAAATTGATGTGTTACATAGAAGAATGATTCCTAATGTGTATTGATCCGGGATACTGCGTTAATTTATACTAAGGCACTTAAATATATCAGTCTTTGCCAATGTTGTCCAAAATTATCCCATTTTAGCTTCAAATTATCCAAGACAGTACAACTGTTCTCCATTGACAACAAATATTTACACAGACACGGGTTAAAGTCAACAAAATTCTAATTGATGCATTGTGTTCTAAGTCATGTTTAAAATTAGTTTTTTCTCGACAATAATCAGTGGTGTATTCCAAATTGATCGAAAAAAATGCATCTTATACTAGTCTTAATGAAATTTCAACAATACAAACAATGTCACAGTAGCCAAACGGAAAAAGCTTTTTTATGAAGAATCCAATAAACGAGATATGTAGACAAAGTAAATATTTGAACAATTCGAAATTCGAATCTGCTATTTATATGGACTATTTCGTACGTCTTTTGTGAACAATTGGGGTTTATCATAAACGTATAGATTATACATATTTCGAATTGACTTTTAAAAGCTGTTAATGATTTTATACCACATTTTATCTGTCGTCAACAGGGCCCTTTGTCGACTTTAAACCGTGTTCTATAAAGTTTGATTAAATGTGCTTGACTATATCCTGTTTCCCATTAGTAATATATGTTATTAAATTGCTGTGTATATATGCATTTCATTTCATCAATAAAATATGAAAATAAATTGAATCCAGTTCTCTTAAAATCATGCAGCATGTGGATATATGCCCAATGAATGACCACTCTCCGAAATGGATTCATTTGAATTCAAACGGCATTTAACCACAATTATTTTATCTTTATTTATTTGCTATTTATTATATCTATTCTTTGTAAAGGGTCTCCGTGTCAACGTATATTTGTTCCGCCTACCAGAAGTTCCACTAGAAACTTTGTTATAAACAATGTCATAATATCTGTTCCTGTTGGAACAAATATTCTATACCATTTATTCCGTTATGAACATTTACTGTAATATTTATTCCAGTGGACATAATATTACAGAACATTGTTTCCATTTGGAACTTATATTATGAAGGAACGTATATTCCGTTACATCCCAATTACATTCATTAAAGTTTTAGAGTGCCTTGTAGTTCCAGACAAGAAAATTGAAAATTGCCCAATCAGAATCAAAGAGTTCCGTTAGCAGCCATGTATCCAGTAAGAATGATATGTGAAATATTATTTGCCGCTTTTATTATTCCTACCAAATTTTGTTCACATTGGCCATGTTTTATTAACAAAAATGATGAATATGTAATCAGTGGGAACTCATTAGGCGTCATTGCCGCCATGCTTACAACTAATCAGTACTAAAAGAGGATCTTTCATAGAGGTTCTCCCAATCATCATTTCAAAAAAAAAAGTTCTAAAGAGCCTGTGTCGCTCACCTTGGTCTATTTGCATATTAAACAAAGGACACAGATGGATTCATGACAAAATTGTGTTTTGGTGATGGTGATGTGTTTGTAGATCTTACTTTACTGAACATTCTTGCTCCTTTCTATTATCTCTATCTATAATGAACTTGGCCCGGTAGTTACAGTGGAAAATATTTTCTAAAAATTTACAAAAATTTACAAAATTTATGATAATTGTAAAAAATTGACTATAAAGGGCAATAACTCCTTAAGGGGTCAATTGACAATTTTGGTCATGTTTGACTTATTAGTAGATCTAACTTTGCTGTACATTATTGCTGTTTACAGTTTATCTCTATCTATTATAATATTCAAGATAATAACCAAAAGCTGCAAAATTTTCTTAAAATTACCAATTCAGGGACAGCAACCCAACAACGTGTTGCCTGATTGGTCTGAAAATTTCAGGGCAGATAGATCTTGACCTAATGAACAATTTTATCCTCATCAGATTTGCTCTAAATGCTTTGGTTTCAGAGATATGAGCCAAAAACTGCATTTTACCCTATGTACTATTTTTTAGCCATGTCGGCCATCTTGGATCGCGGGCGGGGTCATCGGACACATTTTTAAACTAGATACCCTAATGATGATTGTGGACAAGTTTGGTTAAATTTGTCTTAGCAGTTTCAAAGGAGAAGATTTTTGTAAAAGATTACAAAAATTTACGAAAAATGGTTAAAAATTGACTATAAAGAGCAATAACTTCTTAAGGGGTCAACTGAACATTTTGATCATGTTGACTTATTTGTAGATCTTACTTAGCTGAACATTATTGCTGTTTACAGTTTATCTCTATCTATAATAATATTCAAGATAATAACCAAAAACGGCAAAATTTCCTTAAAATTACCAATTCAGGGGCAGCAACCCAACAACGGGTTGTCCGATTCATCTGAAAATTTCAGGGCAGATAGAACTTGACCTGATAAACAATTTTACCTCGTGTCAGATTTGCTCTAAATGCTTTGGTTTCAGAGATATAAGCCAAAATCTACATTTTACCCCTATGTTCTATATTTAGCCATGGCGGCCATCTTGGTTAGTTGGCCGGGTCACCGGACACATTTTTTTAAACTAGATACACCAATGATGATTGTGGCTAAGTTTGGTCAAATTTGGCCCAGTAGTTTCAGAGGAGAAGATTTTTGTAAAAGTTAACGACGACGGACGACGACGGACGACGGACGACGACGGACGACGGACGCCAAGTGATGAGAAAAGCTCACTTGGCCCTTTGGGCCAGGTGAGCTAAAAAACAGTGGCCTCGTTTTTTTTTTGTCTAATCAAAACAAAAGTAAATTTCAATTTTTTAAAGAAACTTACAAACATTTTATTAACTAAATGTTGTTCAAATTAGTAGCAGTTGTATTTAAGTCAAGTGCATAATGGCAAGAGGTCACACACAGGAAAATTCTGAAAACTCTGAATTTAAGATATTTGCATCTTATGTAAGTAAAAGTAAAATTCTAATGGCATCATTGAAATTGTTCAGCATATTCTATGTTCACTTTTGCTTTTTGAATATCATGAAAATTCCTTTAAAGGAATTTCATAAGAAAACAGTTAGAGTACATTTATACAATTAAAACAAATTAAAAGACAAATTCATTAAAACATACTAAACTTTTTTTCAGAAAAAAATGTCCATTTAAAACATAGCCTGACAGATGATAAGTGAGACAAGTAATGTAGCTGCTCAGAATGTTGATGCCCATGCAAAAATGATATACACAAAAATTGTTATAACTCGACTACTAATATATTTGTCTGAATTTCTATCAAACGTCTTCCAATGTGTGCATGGTGCATTCCTTTTAAAACCCTATCGTCATAAGAAGTGTTGTGGAAGAAGTTAATATGGCGGATTAGTAATCAGAACTAAGAATTTTATGCGACTGTCATACAAGTGAGAGTTTTAGCTAGCTATCAAACCAGGTTTAATCCACCATTTTCTACATAAGAAATTGCCTGCACCAAGTCAGGAATTAATATGACTGTCACAGTTGTTATCCATTCGTTTGATGTGTTTGAGCTTTTGATTTTGCCATTTGCTTAGGGACTTTCCGTTTAGAATTTTCCTCGGAGTTCGGTATTTTTGTTATTTTACTTTTTATATAAAGAAAAATACTGGTAACGAGAATAATACTTATTAATGTAGGATGGACTAATAATAAACAAGGTTTCATGAAGAAGAAAATCTGTTTAAGATATAGCACGTAAGTATCATTTCCATCGTCATTACTTCCAGGATTAAAATTAAAGTAACTGTAACTGGTTACCTTTCCAGAGCACCTGGGTTTACTCAAATGTTTAGTGGGGTTAGATCTTAGGTCCTTGGGTGGGAGTTAAGTAGGGTTGATGCTGCTCAATCTTTAGTTTTCTGTGTAGTATTTTATTGACTTGTATTTGGTTGCTCGTCCTTTGCTCTGCTAACGTTGTCTATATTTCTTCGAGTACCTTTTTTGCTTATTATAGTGGATAAATTTTAGGCTTTACTACCGAGACAAATCTTTTTTTGCTATTTAGAAAAAAAATACAAAACTGGTGAATCCTTCCTACCAAAGGGGTTGAATGCTTTCACTTACCATTTTCAAATAAATTCTATGACACGAATATCAAAAATTCCTGTTATAAGATAAAGTTTCTCTCGTTGAAATTGATCTCTCTATATATATTGACTAAAGATCCAAGTAGATAAAATTTCCTTGAGGAATCAACGTATGCGTGTGTGTCTCAAATTATAAAAAACGTATCCAATATAACTGCTATTTTTGACACTTCATATAAATACGAAAAAAAATTAACTTCCATAAATTGATGTAATAAATAATCTCCTAAGACATTGCTCACAATAAATTGTCAAATATTGCACATTTTAAACTATCGAATAAAAATTCACATTTAATAAATCGACATTCTGTTAGCGTGATCATTGCATATTTCCACAAAATTTTCGTTGCTATAGTACGGACATTACAAGAATTTCTACATTTGTAACACTTTTTCTTTGTATTTCCGATGATATCCAGCAATGATAAGATATTGTTTGTTTCCGAGTAATTTATCAACGTATCGATATTTCTATTTGATTTCAACAAATCAAACAATTACATTTTGATAAGAAAATTGACACTGAAGGAAAAATAAATATTACACGAGGCCTAACCAATTAGAATTTTGCATTTAAAAACACAATAAGACTTCTTAAGTACTTTGCCAGCCAATTGCTGAAAATCTGATTAAACAGTTGATCCCTTTTAGAGGTGAAATTAGTTCAAAGTACATCTATATATCAAAACTCTCGGCAAATCTTTTGTTTTCACGTAGCAACCACGTTCTCGGATTAATTCAATATTGTTAATATTGTACATATTTTAAACTTTAAATGGTGTATGATCGAAATTTGATATAGAATTGATTTAATATTTTTCATACAGCGATTGTAGTATACGTTTAATGGTAAGAACTGATAGCAATCATCAAATAAAACAAGACATTGATTAGCTTCGAGACTCACGCATTGCATTAATTGACGTATTTTAACTACTATTGATTATTTTTTATATAGCAATTTGTTGCAAATTATAATTGAAAGCGTGTTAACAAATTGGAAGTCATTTTTTTCTAAAGTAAATTTGAATTGGGAATTCAGGAATGAAATGCAAAATTGCAGGTAAAGTTTCCTTTATCATTTGATATAAAAGTGGTATGATTGCAAATGAGACAGATTAATGCAAGAGACCAAATGACGAGGTCGTTTACAACTACAGGGCACCGTACGGCCTTCAACAATTAGCAAAATCCATATCATCCGTATAGTAAGCTGTAAAGGACCACGACATGACAAAAATGTGAAATCTTTCAAAAGTGACAACAACAAAAAGGTCATTTATATTAAAACAACAAACGAAAAACAAATATGTACATGTATACATACAGCACACTAATTCTATGGACTAGATATATTTGAATTACTATTCATAATCGAGTAAAAGAGAAGGGGATTGTGGTCATCTGTGACAAAAATATCCCATGACAATCAATCAAGTAATGATGGAGCACTTGAAATGTACCAATTTTCAACTTTACCTTTAAGATTCCTTGTCTTCAATAAACTTCCTTGTAAGCAGCAATCTTTAATCAAGGAAATAGATTTATTGAACGTATGCCCTTGATCACTCTTTCAACTCTTTCATATGCCATATGCGCATAGATAAAGAAAGTTCACAATGGGAACATTGAAATCATCTCTTTTGTCGTTAATTAGAGATTTCAAGCACTCAGTATGAAGCAAACTTGTACTGATTTTGTGTCATGGATGGATACCCCATATCCTTTGTTTTTCTATTAATTGTATATGTATTCATAATATCAAGTCCAATGGGTTATATGCGGTCAACATTGTCACCAAACTTTAAATTTATATGTGAGTAAACTCATCATAAATACCAGGATTGAAATTTTATATTTGCGCCAGACGCGCGTTTCGTCTACAAAAGACTCATCAGTGACGCTCGAATAAAAAAATGTTAAAAAGGCCAAATAAAGTACGAAGTTGAAGAGCATAAAGTACCAAAAATTCCTAAAAATTTTGCCAAATACAGCTAAGGTTATCTATTCCTGAGATAGAAAAACCTTAGTATTTCAAAAATTTAAAGTTTTGAAAACAGTTAATTTATAATTATGAACATATCAATGATAACTCAAGTCAGCACAGAAGTGCTGACTACTGGGCTGGTGATACCCTCGGGGAATTAAAACTCCACCAGCAGTGGCATCGACCCAGTGGTTGTAAATAAACTCATCATAGATACCAGGATATAAATTATGTAGCGGAACGTTACTTTCCATTTGAATGCAAACTGTCCGATAAAAAAAGTCCCAAAACTTCAAAAATACGTTGTCGATTAAAATAAATCAAGCATCTTCATGATGTTTATTGTTTGAATGAGAGTGAATTTTTATGACTAGTCTCTAAGACTTTCTTAAACAAGATTTAAGTATCTATTTTGCAAATTTCGCAATTCTTCTTCGTGAAACAAAGTTTGACTAATTCTTCAATCTGTTTTTAGTTTAGTACGAGAAAATACTTGTTTAAAGTAAAGAAGTCAAATATTTTCGTGTTATTGCATGAGGAGAGGGACTTAGATTGTACGTATTGAATCCGATACTTTTGGAATTCTTGTGTTGATTGACACACCATTGTGACCTAATCATAAAAACAATATGAAAAAAGCAATCTTGTGACAATAGAACGCATAGGACTTGCATGAGAGGAAATGCTGTGGGCATTGTTCATGTTGTACATACAAGTCTTTTAATACTTAAAGTTTAGTCATTCTCAAATTCTGTCGAATTAGCTAAAATTGCAATAGCTTGACTCCTAGTTAATCTCTATGAGGAACTGAGTAAGACTGAAGTTGTCACTACTAATGGGACTGTTTCCAGCAAAGCAGGAGGTTAAGTGCTTTGAGCTTGCTTTCCGTTACTGTGAGCATTCTTTGACATGGTATAAGGCCCGAGAACACAGTTATTTCGTAGTGCATTTTCTTTTAGACAATGAATTCAAATTAAAAAAATCGCACCTGCTCTATCTCAAAAAGATTTTTACAGTGTAGTGTACTACTATTGATACAAATAATATCAAAATTATAGAAACTTCTACCAGATCTTACTCAAAATATTGACAATTCTGTGTTAAGGGGGGCTAAAATTCAGTTTGACAGCTTCAGACATTCTAATTTTTGACCTTTTTAACTGGACCAAATCACTACTTAACATAAGGATTCAGCACCCAAATTTTTTTAACGTGTAATTTCATCCCCTTACTTAATATTTCATGCATAAAATATCAAGAAATGAATTGGAAAAGTGTATAAAAAAAATGCAAGTTATACACTGTTCACACTAGGGACTATATTCGTAGACAAAAATCCTAAGGACGATAACTGTGTCCTTGGACCATAATTGTGTTTACTTTTTTTTCTGTTTCATTTTACTGCTATTTCAAGTTTAAGTGTTTTTCCTGGACTAACTTAGTCATGCATCTGTTAGCTTGTTAGTCCATAGTGATCTCGACTGGAACTAGAGGCTATAAAGAACCTCTGTCGCTCACCTAGGTCTATGTACATTGTCATCAATGGATACTCTCCAACATTGTAGATTAAAAATATAATTCATGAATAAAATCTCTTTTTTGTTCATCTTGTAATGCTGATATTTTTTTCTGTTTACAGTTCCTCTCTTCTTTATTTTTTCCCAAAACACAAGAAGGGTAAAAAATCATCATTTAAGGACAAAAATTCCTATAAGAAGGCAACTGACAATTTCATCTAGCATGCTGACCTATTTGCAGTTCTTGTCTTGCTGATCATATTTGCTTTTTTTAAAGTTTCTAATATAGCTATCAAGATAAAAGAAAAACAACACACAAAAACTTCTTCACCAACAGAATAGTAGACACATGGAACAGCTTGCCAGAACACATTGTAACAACCACTAAAGTGAAAACATTTGAAAACAGACTAGACACTTACTGGAAAGATCATCCTATGAAACTAGACTATACAATTGAGTATGGACAACACACAATTAGAGTAACCGGAAAAGAAGACACTACGGTTGAAGAAACGATAGAGATGAACATAAAGGAGCAGCAGCTCCTGCGTTCATAACGAACGTAGGTAAACGTAGGTAAACGTAGGTAAAACTTAGAAGAAATTGTCATTTATAGTCAAAAACTCCCAAAAGGAATCGACTGACGATTTCGAAAAGAAGGTGACTTAATTGTAGATCTTGTCTTGTTGATCTTTTTTGCCTTTTAAGCTTCTGAATACCTATTATAGTTTTCAAGATAAAAGGCAGAAACACCAAAAACAAAATTGTAAAAATAAATCATCATTTAAGGGCAATAACTCATATAAATAGTCAACTGGCGATTTCAGCAATTTGACTAATTGATAGCTCTTGTCTTGCTATGTCATGTTTGCTTTTAAACTTTCTTTTTATCTATTATAGTTTTCAAGACAATAGGCAAAAAACGCAAATGCAAATGGTAAATTCGTCATTTAAGGTCAATAACTCCTATAAGAGCGCCTGACAGTTTTGATGCAAATTCTCAAAAAGGTAGCGTTTAAACATTCAGAACATTTTTGCCCTGTTAGATTTTCTCTATCTATAGCGGTTTTCACGAGAATGGACAAAACTTGCATTTTACCCGTATACTCTATTTTCTTAACCCCAATTATGATTGTGGCCAAGTTTGGATAAATTTGGCTCAGTACGGTTTCAGATGAGAAGTTAACTGTTTGCAGACTACATACTTCAAGTGATGGGAAAACCTAACACAGATCGTTCTGGCCAGGCGAGTTCAAAACGAATAGAACATTTTCTCACATTCACATGCCTGTCCCAAGGCACGAACATCGTCACTTATTGTCTTGCGTCAATCTAACTTCTTTGATAATTTTGACATTGATGGCAGATATTTGATAGTTTCTTTTTATTTAATCAACAACATATTTTACTGGGATGATAAGAGCTTGACATATAAATAGATATAGACAACTGTCTATTATCGAAGTATATATGTTGAACTCTATTTGTCTTTTATGCATTTAAGTATATAGGTTCCTGTCTGATTGAAGTAACCCATCATCTCATTTTATTCACATCCTGTTCTTAGATTACGTACCACAAACAAGAGGCCATCTGTGCCATCACCCACCTGTTGAAAAAATAGCCTGTATGCCTTTGAGGATTTATATATGCACATATGCAAATTATTCTTTGTGTTGCTGATCATATTTACAATTTACATGCTTAACCTAGCATCTATAGTTTTTGAGATAATACTTAATAGACAAAACTGACAAAAACAGTAAATATCAACATTTCAAGGGCAATAACTCCAAAACACGTTGTCAAATTTTCTGAAGTCTTCAGTGTAGATAGATTTTGTCATGCTCATCATATTTGCATGCTACCCTCTTCAGCCAGCTCCTATAGTTTTTAAGATAACAGCAAAAAAACTGAGAATTGGAAAAATATATATTATCCTGGGAAAAGTAGTCGAAAATGTTAAAACATGTCTCCCTAATTTTCAGTGTGGATAATCTTGTCTTGCTGATCATTTTAATAGTTTACATTTTTGACCTTGCTCCTATAGTTTTTGCAATACCAGCCAAAACTAGGAAAGTCGGATAAATGGATATTTCATGGGCAATTGCTCCAAAGCCGATTGTTACAATTTTTTTCCAGAGCACCTGAGATCACCCCAGGTTTTTGGTGGGATTAGTGCTGCCCAGTCTTTAGTTTTCTATGTTGTGTTTTGTGTACAGTTGTTTGTCTTATGATTTTTTTTCTTTTCTGCCATGGTTTTGTTAGTTTATTTTCAACTTATGAGTTTGAATGTCCATATGGTAATTTTTTCGTCTCTCTTTTCGAGTGGAGACATCTTGTAGTTATGATCATTTATGCAACTTATACTTTTAATCTAGCTCCTATAGTTTTAAGAATACATGTAACAGTCAAAAAATATGAAAATTGGTACAAACTTACATTTCAGGGGCTATAACTCTAAATAGGGAATTTTTTTAGTTAGATAAAACTGCCAATGCTGATAATGTTTGCACCACACTTTATATCTAGCTCCTCCAGCTTTCAAAATAACAGTAAACAAAATTGCAAATAGTAGATTTCAGGGGAAATAACTCCAAAATGGGTTTATAGATTTTTCTCGAATTTTAAGGGTAGATAAATCTTGTACTGATCCTCTTTGCAACTTTTACTTTTAACGGACGACAGACAGACAACTGATGCAAAGTGTTGACAAAAGCTCACATGAACTTGTTCTTTCCAATAACATGAATAAGGGCTCACGAAAATATAAAGATACTTTTTATAAAACTTTGTTAAATAGACACAAACTGATTCTGATAAAGTAACTCTTGCTATGTGGCTTGTATTTTACTTGAGGGGAACCTATACATCATTGCCAATAACAGGTAAATCAAAGCCCTGCCTATTATTTAATGAAAAAATAAGGAGATGTGGTATGATTGCCACAAATATCCACCCAAGTTCAAATGATGTAGATTTAAGCATTTATAGACAACTGTACTGCTTGCATTTATAGACAATTGTACAGCCTTCAACAATGAGAAAAACTAAAACTGTATAGTCGGCTATAAAAGGCCATGACATGAGAAAGCCAATCACAGTGAAGTAGCATAACATTTTAATTTATGACTCTATCATATAAAATTAATAAAAAACACAAAGATATTTCAGAGCAAATCACCAACAATCACAGGTATTCACCATGGAAATCACCACCAAGAGTAATAAATAACTAAAAAATATTGTATGTCCACATCCTTATTTTACAGAATTGGGAATGACTGAACAGCAATACTTTCAAGAGAGCATTCGTCAACTCCTCTCATAATGCGGAAAAACCCATCTTCTCCCCACTTTGTACCCCAACTGTTTTTAACCAGCCAATATTTGTGGCCAATTTCTGAATCATATCCATATCCAACCACAAGAACCACATGATTTGTTATTTCAAATGGATTAAAACCATTAGTCAATGTTGTGTGTTGATAAATTCCACTTTTGTAATGCATAAAATCAGCATAAACCATGAACGACACTGCGATAGGTCCATTTTTAACCAAATTTTCCATCATAAGTTCTTCATTACAACTGAAAATAAAAATGAACTCTTTTGTAAATTTAAAAAAATAATTTATTGTAAAAATGTAACAACTTTGTAAACGAACAACACTGAATGAGTTACAAAATAGGGAATGATTGGACAGCAATGCTCTCCATCGCACATTCATCAACACCTCTCATAATTCTGAAAAATCCATTTTCACCCCATTCGGGACCCCAGCTGTTTTTGACAATCCAGTATTTCTCTCCTGTCCCACTATCTACTCCATATCCGACGAGAAGCACGGCATGATTTGTAATTTCAAAGGGATTGAAACTGTTCGTAAGACCAGTGTGCTTGTAAATTCCGGACTTGTACTGCATGAAGTCACCGTAAACTTCAAATGCGATCACCATGGGTCCATTGTTGACCAGATTTATCATCATCAACTCTTCATTACATCTACAAAATAACCAAACCATTCAATCAACTCACTTATACACATTCACTAAACTGGGGCAAGTGGAGGAGTACTGAATGGTGTTATTGTTCGAGATAAAAGTAATGTAACACAAATTAGTTGGATGTCCAAAATGTAACACTGTTCATTTTTGTTTCTCACTATACGATGTTTTAATCTTTTGTAGAAGACATGTCAAACTCCAACTAAATTCTAACTCTGTACACAAAATGCCATTACTAGAAAACTGATTTAAAAGAAACTTGTTCTGGCATAAAAATCATGGTAAAATGTAGGTAAACTATGCTTACCAGAACTAGTCCCCATTTTTTTTTCTGTAAAAATATAATTTTTCGCCCAAAATAACTTCATTTTAGAATTGAATATTGTTTTTTTTTAAATTCAATCAGAATGAAAGCTAGTAATGAATCATATTCAGAGGAAGAGAGAAAACTCTTCTTGCTAAGAATGTGATTTGTCACTTGCTTTCATCTGAAATAAATTATAATAAATGGAAAATGTGTCAATGGGACACAGATGATGCCTCTGCTTGCATATAAAATTATAAAGGGACATAACTCAAGAATGGTAGAAGTGAAGCCAGCCAAATTGGAACTTGATCCGAGTTTTCTGGTAATAAGCATTGTGTATAAGTTTCATATCATTTGGTTGAGGCAAACTTAAGTTAGAGAACGGAAACGAAAAATTAAGCAATTTTTCCATTTGTAAAGGGGCCCAACTCTAGAAAGGTAAAAGTGACACCACCCAAATTCAAACTTGTTTGTGTTCTGTGTCAATAAGCATTGTGTATAAGTTTCATAACATTTCGTTAAGGCAAACTAAAGTTAGAGAATGGATACTAATTTTGGGATGCACGTACGTATTGACCGATGGACAAGGGTAACACCTAATGCCCCCTCCGCTGCGGTAGGGGCATAAAAAAAAAACCAGCATGCAATTCCTCTATGTACAAATCTTTGAAATAAAATATATATGTTATTAATATTTCGAATTGGGAAGCAAAACTTTGGCAGACATTGTTTAATACAATCCCACATGAAATCAATTGTTCATTATATGATATGTACAAAATTTGCATAATTAAGATGTTGATTTTAAGGTAGATAGCTAATAAAATATTTATTAGATTTCAATAATTATTATTTTATATAGGATAATCATTTATTATTTCATATTTCAATCAATTATTCATATTTACAATTTATAATAACGACTACTTTTTTTAATAAATGAAATTTGCTATTTTATAAAAAAAATTAAATGTTTGTTGCACGTACACAGGCAAAGTGTAAAAATAGTGTTGATTTGAAAGGTGGGCAAGAGCTAATAGTTCTATTTTTGTGTTGCTTTTACATAAATTGGAAAAAATCACAGAATTAGGCGATTCCTCTTGCAGCAAATAAAAATCAGTATCTGCATGAATTTCACACCTATTGTAAATATGAATAAGTGATATGCACATCAACAGTACACATAAAACTTTATAATAAAGCTAGCCTGCAATTTCAATTCAGTCATAGGAATACTCTGGAGAACATGCACTACACACTCAAAATTAGCAGTTTCTGTGTACGGTACAAGAAATTCAGTTTTTACTCCAAAAATTATTTTTCAGTGTACTTGAATTTCAAATCACAAAACCTAATTCTAACCTAATTAAAACAAGTAGGGGAATTTGTATTCACAAATTCTAATTATCAAGATTGGAATTTTTAGTTTCATTTTATGTTAATTGATATGCATATACTTGTTAGCTGTTTTAAGTTCAAACCTAGTCCTAGATATAGTGTCAGAAAATTTAAGTAAAAAAATATTGACTAATGGATACATAGAAAACTATAGGACTTCCTCTCATTGTCGATGAAGGGCCCTTGCTTTAGTCTTACAGTGTGCTTATATTTTTTTAACGGAAAACATTCAATACAGTGAATGGACCTTTGAACTTGATGAACACATAGGAAAAGTAAGTTAAATAAAATAAACTGCTTCGCTGAGCGCAGCTGGATACGCCCGCAGAGGTCAAACCCTGAACAGTTGGGGCAAAAATGGACACAATATTCAAGCTTGATACAGGTCTGAATTTGGATTGTAATTAAATATTTGACATATTACAGGTTTCTGAATAAATGTAGTCACAGAACTTGAAATTGGTTATATGAATTGAATTAATATTCAATTAAACATTTCTTGCTGTTGTGCAATACACTGTGCTGTTGCGCAATACTTAGTAAATCTGTTGTTAGACTATAAACAAATAAAGTTCAATTAATTCGAAATGTCATATTAGAAATTTATGAAAATCAAAAGGGAGCTTACATCAATAGATATAAACAATTCACCAAAGTTTCATGAGAATTGCTGACAGCATTTTTGAGTTATTGTCCAAAAACTAGAAAGTCACCCCTTTTTTAATGAATAAAACCCCATAACTCAGAAATGTAAAATGTAAAATTTATAAAATTCTAAAGGGAGCTTACTTAAATAGATATAAACTATTCACCATAGTTTCAGGAAAACTGCTGAAAGCATTTTTGAGTTTTTGTCCAGTAACTGGAAAATCCCCCTTTTTTATGAATAAAACCCTGTAACTCGGAAACGTAAAATCTAAAATTTATAAAAATTGAAAGGGAGCTCATGTCAATAGATATAAACAATTCACCACAATTTCTTGCAAGTTGGTGAAAGCATTCTTGAGTTATTGTCCGAAAACTGGAAAATCCCCCTTTTTTTAATGAATAAAACCCCATAACTCAGAAACGTAAAATTTAAAATTTATAAAAAACGAAAGGAAGCTCAAGTTAATAGATATAAACAATTCACCAAAGTTTTGTGCAAATTGGTTAAAGCATTTTTGAGTTAATGTCCGACATGTCATTTTAGTGATGAGAATATTAAAATCAGACTTTAATCAAAATGATTTAGTGATTGACCATTCCAAAATTTTAATTGGAAAAAAATCATGTGGAGATGCTTTGGTGTAAATAAATATTAAACCCAACTTACGCTCCGTAAAATCCACCAATATATTCATATTTAGTAGCATATTGTCTTGGACAGGAAGTTTTAGTTTTACATTGACCGTCTTTGCCAGTGTAGGGATTGCAGGACTCAGCAACCAATCCAAAATCTTCGGCATATTTGCCTCCAATCAGATATGGGAAGCCACCATCACAACCTTAAAGAAAAACATGATTTATTAATATTATTTACCGTATTAAAGTACTGATTTTCTAGAGCTATGTAAGTACCAGTGAGTCAAACTAATAAAATCCAGAGGCTCAATGAAGACTATATTGTTCACATAGATATATTGATTGATATTGAGAATTGAGATTGATAGGGATCTTCCTCTCGTTATATGTGACCATAAAACAAATTAAAGTTTCAGTCCAGTGTTCTCCCCAGATATTTCATTTAGCATCCTGGTAATCAGGGGAAATTGAAATACCATATTGTTTTTAAAAATTATAGCATCACATCCATAGCATAATCTATAAGAAAACCACTTCAGATAGCATCACATTCAAGATTATAGCATCACATTACCATGATGCTAAAAGGCCCTGGGGAGAACACTGCAGTCCAATATCAGAGGAGAAAAAAGTTTGAAATGGATCTGTTCAAAAGATCAAAGGATCTATGATCTATGCTGATTACTATACTGATATAAGTAAGACAGGCTACAAAATGGAATTCTAAAAAAATTAGTATTTAAACGAAGATTCAGTCTAAGTATTGTGATGTATTTTTCCAGAAAGTACAATGTTACACTTATTTTTGTATTGGATGAGCTATTTTTTATGTTCATCTAAGTCAATAGGTGTCAATAGGTGCAATTTTTGCAGATTGACAATACAAAGGAAAGAAGTAATGACATACCTCATTGTGTCAGTGATTATATGAATACCAAGCCTATCTATTTAAGATTTTTGGATTATACGCTAAAAACTGATTATATGACTACCAAGCCTATCTATTTAAGATTTTTGGATTATACACAAAAACTGATTATATGACTACCAAGCCTATCGATTTAAGATTTTTGGATTATACACTAAAACTGATTCTATGACTACCAAGCCTATTTATTTAAAATTTTGGGATTATACACTAAAAACTGATTATATGACTACCAAGCCTATCTATTTAAGATTTTTGGATTATACACTAAAAACTGATTATATGACTACCAAGCCTATCTATTTAAGATTTTTGGATTATACACAAAAAACTGATTATATGACTACCAAGCCTATCTATTTAAGATTTTTGGATTATACACTAAAACTGATTATATGACTACCAAGCCTATTTATTTAAAATTTTGGGATTATACACTAAAAACTGATTATATGACTACCAAGCCTATCTTTTTAAGATTTTTGGATTATACACTAAGAACTGATTATATGACTACCAAGCCTATCTATTTAAGATGTTTGGATTATACACTAAAAACTGATTATATGACTACCAAGCCTATCTATTTAAGATTTTTGGATTATACACTAAAACTGATTATATGACTACCAAGCCTATTTATTTAAGATTTTTGGATTATACACTAAAAACTGATTATATGACTACCAAGCCTATCTATTTAAGATTTTTGGATTATACACTAAAAACTGATTATAGGACTACCAAGCCTATCTATTTAAGATTTTTGGATTATACACTAAGAACTGATTATATGACTACCAAGCCTATCTATTTAAGATTTTTGGATTATACACTAAGAACTGATTATAGGACTACCAAGCCTATCTATTTAAGATTTTTGGATTATACACTAAAACTGATTATATGACTACCAAGCCTATTTATTTAAAATTTTGGGATTATACACTAAAAACTGATTATATGACTACCAAGCCTATCTTTTTAAGATTTTTGGATTATACACTAAGAACTGATTATATGACTACCAAGCCTATCTATTTAAGATGTTTGGATTATACACTAAAAACTGATTATATGACTACCAAGCCTATCTATTTAAGATTTTTGGATTATACACTAAAACTGATTATATGACTACCAAGCCTATTTATTTAAGATTTTTGGATTATACACTAAAAACTGATTATATGACTACCAAGCCTATCTATTTAAGATTTTTGGATTATACACTAAAAACTGATTATAGGACTACCAAGCCTATCTATTTAAGATTTTTGGATTATACACTAAGAACTGATTATATGACTACCAAGCCTATCTATTTAAGATGTTTGGATTATACACTAAAAACTGATTATATGACTACCAAGCCTATCTATATAAGATTTTTGGATTATACACTAAAACTGATTATATGACTACCAAGCCTATTTATTTAAGATTTTTGGATTATACACTAAAAACTGATTATATGACTACCAAGCCTATCTATTTAAGATTTTTGGATTATACACTAAAAACTGATTATAGGACTACCAAGCCTATCTATTTAAGATTTTTGGATTATACACTAAAACTGATTATATGACTAACAAGCCTATTTATTTAAGATTTTTGGATTATACACAAAAAACTGATTATATGACTACCAAGCCTATCTATTTAAGATGTTTGGATTATACACTAAAAACTGATTATAGGACTACCAAGCCTATCTATTTAAGATTTTTGGATTATACACTAAGAACTGATTATATGACTAACAAGCCTATTTATTTAAGATTTTTGGATTATACACTAAAACTGATTATATGACTAACAAGCCTATTTATTTAACATTTTTGGATTATACACTAAAACTGATTATATGACTAACAAGCCTATCTATTTAAGATTTTTGGATTATACACTAAAACTGATTATATGACTAACAAGCCTATTTATTTAAGATTTTTGGATTATACACAAAAAACTGATTATATGACTACCAAGCCTATCTATTTAAGATTTTTGGATTATACACTAAAAACTTAACAATGATTTGATCACAAAAAGCCCAAAGTTTAAGGCAAAATTTTGATGATCCATTATTTACCACAAGTTACTTGCAAGTGCAATGATATTTTGATTTGGTAATTTTCACTGAAAAAACTCCTAAATTATGCAATTATGAGTTATCCCTTATGATGGTCTCCCTAATGATATTAAGCAGTTTCCCTATACATGATGACATCTCCATACAAGGTATTAATCATGAAAATGATATGCTTAATTCTCATTTCACATGAAAAAATACTTCCATTTAACAAACCAGAAAGAAAATGAAATAAAGGAGGCATTATATTCATACTCAGTATTATACCAAGTAACCAATTAAAACTGGCCATTTTATTGAAGTATTCAAATGCATTATGATGTCATAGAAGTCTTAAGAAAATAATATTTATTGTTAAGTCTTTTTTTACCTTGAGAGTATTCACTGCATTCAACAATGTCCTGTGTTGAGAAAACTGGAGTCTTTGTACCATTTGTCATAATACGAACACGGGCCTCATTCATAGCTAATGAACCAAAGGCATAACAACTACCACAACTCACTGTAAATATATATCATTCAAAGTTCATTTCAGCTTTCATAAAAGAATTAGAAAATTATTATATATCATGTAGAATTAGCTCTAGTCTGATGTTTGTGGAGCAGGATCTGCTTACCCTTCCGGAGCACCTGAGATAACCCTTAATTTTTGGTGGGGTTCGTGTTGCTCAGTCTTTAGTTTTCTAGGTTGTGTTTTGTGTACTTTTGTTTGTCTGTTGGTCTTTTTACTTTTTTAGCCATGGAGTTGTCAGTTTATTTTCGACTTTGATTGTCCCTATTGTATCTTTCGCCTCTCTTAAGTAGAGTCAATAGAAAAGCAACAGTGAAGCAAGATGTTATTTTTGATGGTGACAATCACTGATAAAGCCCTGAAAATTACTTTTTAACTTTTCTGCAAACACAATAAAATATGATTGGCTGAAATAGAATGGACATATGAAATTATTTTTCTCTAGAGAATTAGATCATCAAGTCCATACTGCTCCAGCCAAAAAATAAAAGATTTTGTAATATCTGAGAATATTTCTCTTGTCATTATTGGTTTAAATTTGAATCAAAGTTATCTCCCATTGTACATTTTCCCTATGACTTTGAAAACCATTTAACATGTTTAATAAATGGTAAAAACCAATAAAAAACTTTATATTTCCTGCTTATACTTGTTTGTTTTTAGTTTGTTTGTGTTTTGTGTAATTTAACAATGCACAGAGATAAATACAGAGGGTTTTTTTGCAACATTCCTGCATATTCTTGTAGTGTTCTTTGTATCTTTTCCCTAAAACATGTGCTTTTATCGTCATCATTTGAACTCTGGTGGATTGTGTTTTCATTGGCAATCATACCACATCTCCTTATTTTTATATTTAAAAGCAAAAATTATATTGAAACTTAAATATTTTCTTGAACTAAGTTATATATCACATTAATGTAACAATTTCAAAGATCGTGATTTTCCCCAAAACACAGAATGTTGAATTGGCCTTTTCAGAATCTAAAGGACTATGGGTAATCTCATTGTTCGTACACCAAAGTGAAAATAACCTTACATCATTGGTTGAATTTTCATTGTTTAGGACGTTGTCAGCCAATCACAACTTTTTGGTGTATGCTTTTGAAAATATTACCCAGAATGCATCAGATTCTGACAACTGATCATGGATCCATTTAAAATTGCATGTCTTGTTTTGGGAAATAAAATAGGTAACTGGTGCATGTCAAAGAAATGATATCTTTCATTGTACCCTTGTACTATAAATAGATGTAATACCATCAAAACTAGTACCAATGAAACTAAATAAAGCCATAATGCTTTAAATACAGATAATGCAAATCATCTAGCTATCTTGTCAGATCATGCTCTCAGACTTAACTCTATCTATATAACTATGACAAAGTTCAAGTTACTCACATTGGTTTCTGATTGGTGAGACATAGTTCATTCCACCAACATTCCTCCAGTCAAATGAGTCAGGAAGAGATTGAGCTTTCAATGTTTGTTCTCTGGTTGGTCTAGCTGGTTTTGGCCTTCTGTTTCAATAAAGAATGAATACAATAAATTTTTTTTACTTATTTATCTGTTACACTATATTTTTTCTACATTTTTTTGCTATCCAATGAGTTCACTGGGACAGACTACTAGAAGTGAATGCTGAGTGGGACACCACAGCGAGAAGGAGAAGAGAAAACTTTTGGATCCACCAGCTCTATACTTTAGAACCTGATGGGCTTAATGCAAAAGACAAGAAAAGATACAGGAAAGATAAAGAATAATTAATTATACAGCATCTTTATATCTCTGTAATATTGGCCAATGGACATTGCAAACTTCACCAACAAATTTCGTAATTAAATAAATAATCTTGAACTTCATCCAAACTTTGAATTATTTATAAGGCAGCAAAATTCTTGGTACAATGAGCTGCAATTGTTTCTTATCTGCATCCAATTTTACCTGGATAGATGAACGCTCCATGAAGCTAGTTTGTCTAGCGAAATATTGCGTTTATTTTTTTATCCGTTTTTAACATTTTAATAGTTACACACTAAATAGTGTGTTGCAATTACATTGTTAGGCAATTTATGATTTCATTTGTGTAATTGTATTACTCTTTTTACTGATTAATCCACACACTGCCAGCTGAAGCCTGCCTCCAGGTGCTGGATTTTCTCGGCCACCTAGACTGAACAAAAATTCAGCTTTTGGTGGCCTAGTGTTACCTTTAGAATCTAGAGTTGTAACACAGTACATGATATATTAGGCATGAAGATGGAATTGATTGCAGATTAGCTAAATTATCAATCGTAAAGGATCGTAAGATGTATTCACAGAAATAATTATTTGATAAGTACATCTAAACAAGTGACAACTCTACGACAGATCCATCCATTGGATCACCAGTGAAGGTGATACAACACCGCCTGCACTGTGTCCAGCGCTCTTGACCACTCTGCCACCTAGACTGAACTTAAAATTCAGCTTTCAGTGGCCTAGTGTTACCTTTCCTCGTCAGTAGAATCTAGAGTTGTAACACAGTACATGATATATAAGGCATGAAGATGGAATTGATTGCAGATTAGCTAAATTATCTATCGTAAAGATATATTATACAGGAGATATATATCAAAGGACTAAGCCTTTTATTGCTGTTCTTCATGAAGTTATCAATTTAAGGTAATATGGGTGTATACAGTTCTGGCTAACATCTTCAAACCTAAAATGACCAATAGATGCTACTGAAATAAGCACACTTGAACATATACTGTAAATTCAGAAATTATTGCGTGTATTTATTATTGCAATTTTGTCATTTTAGACTAAAATGCGTTTTTAATTTTTTGCGATATTGAGAATAATCCTGTTTAATTCATATAAAAAATTTCAAAATGCAAGTTTAAATTATTGCGATTATAACCCAGTCGCATTTTCCACAATAATAAAAACCTCGCAATAATTTCTGAATTTACAGTAATTTATTTGAAAAAAAAATCATTTCAATGAAAACATTATATGATTTCATCTTTCCACCTCATCAATATATTTTTATCCTTGCCAATGCTTATTACTGACATTCACCCTAACAATATCAAACTGCACATGTGAAGTTTATTTTAGAAAGTCCAAAACAACAAAAAACTTGAATATTTAATGTTCATAATTTATATAACTTAATTGTTTTCAATCTTTTTACATACTGTGAAATCATTATGATTTGTGGGGCACTAATTTTCATGCATTTCATTGATATCGATCAACTGTGAATTTTGATGTTCAATAACAATAAATTTACTACTGGCTTGTAATCAGACTTTGACGAAACCATGAAATCGAATATCCACAAAAATACAGTTTTTCCTTAATCTATGAAAATTGGTCCATGAAAAAACATGAATCCACAGTATGGATACAAAAATAGAAAAATTATACACAAGTACTTTTTATTATGATGAAAAAGGTATAAAAGTGTACGAGGAAGTTAAATTGTTTTACAAATAATTCACCGTTTACTGAGAAACCTGTATATGAAATACTGATAAGTCAAGTTTCAGTATATCGTCAATGAGGTTTATTTTTAACGACCTTGACTATCCATGAGGGTCTTGCACGGTCGGTATTCAGTATATGATCATGATGATGCATATTTATATATGTAATTTAAAGGCTATTTGGAAATCACTAGGTTATCAGAGATAATCAACTGTTTAAAATATAAAAAAAATGTCCATATGACAATATTTATCAACTCACAATGACAAAAAGATAAAAAATACTCAAGTAACACTGTATCACACATAAATGAATTAAAAGCATTTTAATCCATAATTTTGACGTTCACACACAACTGAGCAGAATAGTTGTTTTATTACAAAAAATGTATTAAACTTGCCCAATAATTCTTGACTTTCTACCACCAGCCCTTTTGATCATATCTTCCACTGTTATTTTTTCATATTCTGGATAATGGACGGCTTGCCAGCTCTTTTGATGCTGGTTAATCTTCTTGATAAAAGAGTGGTCAGTCTTGTATAAAATATCACCATACAACCTGCAAAAAATATAATTATTTCAATCTTCATGAACTGAATTAATCCCTGTAATCATACTGAGAGTTGAAAGAAACTGAGAGAATTTTTGTAACTGAAAAGGACTACGGTGATGAAGTCACGTCAAGTCCAGGATGTCTGTGATAATACCCCTTGCCTGTCAAACTAAAGATGCTGATACTTGCTTCCTTTCCATCAAGCATGCAGCATTAATGATTATGAATAAAGACAGATCAGGTTAAAGTCAGAATAATTTGTCCAGGTAGAGTAATTAATAGTCGTTTTTTGTGGACAGTCCACTTTTGAGCTAGCATTTTTAAAGTCTGACTGAACTTACCAGTCTAGTACAAAGATACTGTGATTTAATTCATGGGATTACAAATTTTAGTGAACTAGTTTTGAGCTGTCAATAATTATAAGAGGCTAAAATCAGGAGGAAAATCTTAATGAAAAACATAAATGATACAACAAAGATCTTCTTTTTTCTGTATTTGTCCTTAATTTTAAGGTCATTGTGATATAGAGATGCAATTCAAATAAGGTGTTTCAATTATTTATCACTCTTAGTAGTGATTACCAAAGTAAATACTGTAATTAATGGTTTATTTTTCTTTATGTATTTCTATTCAATAGATATTACACTTAAAAACCACTCTTGCTGGTGTTGTGTGTTTCACTGTGAAAGAGGGGTAGTGTTAGTTTTTGAGGAGATAAAACTCTGATTCATGACCCTATCCAGTGGGAGTGGTGGGGTTGGGGTCTTAATTCCAGAAATCTGAATATAGGGGTACACATTTTTTGAATGATTTTAAAAAAATTTATGTTTTTTGGACAATTTTATGCTGAAAATGCCATATATATCATGAAAAACATGAAATTGTTTAGGTGGCAATCAAAGAGGGGCACACCCTCTATGCCCCTCGATCAGCCAAGGGGCACTGCTATCATATAATATCTATGGTAGTTTTGCTATAAATATCTCAACCAAGGGTGACTTTGAACCAAACCACCTAATGTGTACTATACCTTTTATTATCTGGTAGCTGATATGTCTTTGGAGCAACACTGGACATCTTCATTCCAGAGAAACAAGACCAGTCCCTGTCAAATGTATCATGTGACCATCCTGGAAATGTTTGGTCACACATACTGGTGATGTTTTTACCATCTTTTTTGAACATGGAAAAGGCAAAATACTTCCTGCCTGCAATCACAACCTCAAAACCCTGAAATAATAAAATGGATTGATCTATTTCTTACCTTAATAATATAATGAACACTGTCTTGTATTGTTAATCCAAACCATCTGTTTTTGCAAATTCAGCTTCGTTACTTACAAAATTTCTGGAGTACTTCATAAAATCATGCATTCAAGAATAAATTTTCTTCTCTATCTGTTTTTAAATTTATTATAAACATGATAAAAGAGATAATTTCTTAATTTATTTGACATAGTAGTACACAACTCAATTTCATTCAGTGGGAAAACAGCAAACATAAGGTTTATTCATGTTATTTGGCCATTTGTGAATATTAATGGTATAATTCATTTGACTTATGTATTATTAATCTATCCTTAGTACAGTGAAAACCTAACAACTTCAATAAATATCCTGTTTTACTGATATCTAAGTGTTAGCACAAATGCTATTTTCACATCAATAGAACAGAAAAAAGACAGGAGTCAATATGAATCCTGAACTTCAAAGATTTTATGGTCAGTATAGTGTTTGTTCAACTGCAGCGGCGGATCCAGGGGGGGGGGGGGGGGGGGGGTCCTGGGGTTGGAACCACCCCTTTTTTTTGGGCATTTGAATGGGGACATATGGTTGGAACCCCCCCTTTCTCCTGGGTTGGGAACCCCCCTTTAAAAAATGGCTGGATCCGCCCCTGAATTGTTTCCTTTTTGAACCAGTATTCAGGAAATTAGAGAATTTATAATACCTGGTTATAAATGAGGGTCCAAAAACCTTTATTTCCATATTGATCTACAGCATAATCTGGAAAGTACAGTTTTACCTTCAATGTGGTCATCATTGCTGAAAAAAAAGGGACAAAATATAGTTATTCTATCTAACATTTTTTTCCATATATACAATAAGAATAAATATTTCATACCTAATAAAATTCAGGTATTTCTACAGTGAATTACTTCTAGTCTTTGGTGGATAGTTGTGTCATCCGATCGATCCACCATTAAATCAAATCTTAGTTTTAAATGGAATATCATTTGAAAACTGTAATTATACACAAAATTTTATGTGAATTTTGCATTTTTACCCTTTCCACAATGGACAGCCAGTCCATGTTCTCTCAAGTTTGTATCTTACATTTAGTAGAAATGTTGAACATTAATGCATAACTGCCTATGTTACTACATCATCGCTAACCAAGGTTTGCGATCCTACCCTCACTGAAGAGGAGGAGCCAAATCATAACCCATGGCTAGCAAAGATGCCATCACAGTATCATGAGTATTGCACTAGAACATTTTAAAGTTTTATGAAAATAAAAAACATCATGTATGCAAAGGTTATCAAGAAGGACAATCTAGAAATTTGACCAAGCCTGTGCCCACTGTCACTGTGGGCAGGTGGAAAAGCACAATCCACAGGAAATGTAGTGTATATAAAATGTATTGCATGGGAGATAACTCTTTTCTTCTTTTTATACAAAATTAGAACTTAAGATCAATTAAATAATTGGTTTTCTGAAATTATAATTAGTATAATAAAAATACATTTATATCAAATGTCAACATCCCTGTATCAATGTTTTCCACTATCATTTTCAAACCACTGATCTATGTCGGTATCTAATAAAAACTGTTTTTAGGTTTGTGAAAAGGCAAAACATATGGAATATAAAATAAAGGAGAAGTTTCAAACTTTGTAGTGCAAAACCTCACTTATAATTCAAACTATTGGAAAACAGGAGGTAGATGTCTGACAGATACAACAATTTGATAATTTTAACTGGTATTAAGGGATCTGCAATGGATGGGATCTGACAAAAAATGAAAGGAGTGATAACAGATATACTTGTAAACAGTATATACATTTTAGGTCAAATACATTTTATCTCTCTTGACTTCATTGCTTGTAGTATACTATATATAAAATCCTTAAATGACCTAGCCTCCTTGGACTGCCTTGCTTTAATGTAAAATGAATTCCCCCTTCCTATTGAGATTTATTGTAGTTAAAATTGAAATTCAAAATGGGACAAGGGAAAATGGTTTTATCTACTTAAAATGATAGGGAAGTATAGAAAAAAGTATTCACTATTGATTCTATCTTAAATTTCTTCCTTGTTAGATGGTGTAATTTGATAAAATATATTTTTCTACAAATTCAAAGATTAAGTTAAAAAAAATCTTAAAAAAATATGTTTCTACTTAAAATATTTACTGAAATTCTATATCTTGTGGGCTACATGTATATTTACATCCTTATTCATATGCGTCAAGTTTTTAAAAATAAATGTTGGCTTTTCCCCAATTTTGAATAGAGATTCTTCAATAATTTGACATATATAACATAACATCTTTTGTATGCAATAAAGATTTTAACATCATATTAAGTGACATAGCAATTAAAGAATCAAAAGATTATGACTATCTACTTTACTTTCTATGTGTATATCACAAGATTAGTTTATAAATGCACTTACATTCATTAGTACGTAATCAAATCACAAGACCTTTTCCCAAATCAGTTTAAACTAAAGAAAAATTCTCATCATGCTTTGGCCAAGCACTTGAAAATCAGCAAATCAAATGTGCTTAATAAAAGTATGACATCTTATTTTTCCACAAAATTTATAGAATTTTTGTTACCCAAAGTGTGCAGAAACAAAACTTATTTAGGGATCTGGAATATTTGTATGAAAACATTCAATTATTTTACATTGTAAAGAAAAAGGAATTACCCGGTACTAGAGGCTTTGAAGTTTAGCTAAAAATATTATATCTCTCAATCTTACTTTGATTCACTGACTACCATGTTTACAAATAACATGTAATAAAGGCTAAGACTTCAAGACTGTCAAAGTAAGTACTCATTAAACCTTTTTGTTTTAAATTACATATGTCACTCAGAGAACTCTACTAATAGTAAAAATAAATTTAGAACACAAGTTGGCTGGCATTATTACATTGCATTAACGAAATGTATCCCTACTAGAAAAAAAAAAAACACCAAGACTGTGTGCACTATGGACACATGGCCCCCACTGTCACATTTTAATGTTAAGTGAATGGCGAAATCCTTGTGACAAAAAAAAAAAAAACAGTTTGTTATACGATTTTATAAGATCACTTCATGACAATGAACATGTGTACTCAGGTTCAACTTGACTTCATGGTGAACTGCCTTAACAAAAACTTTAACCTGATACAGGATGGGAGAAACTATAGCTGACTTTAACCTGATACAGGATGGGAGGAACTATAGCTGACTATTTGGTAGAGTTTTTTCTCATTGTTGAAGGCTGTACAGTGGCCAGAAAACATCTTTCCCCTCCTCCCCTTTATTAAATGTAGGTAGGACATTAAAATAAGTACATTATATTAAAGTTGTTGACAAAGTTATAAGATATTATCATGTACAAAGATACATGTAATTATATGTCTACATATGATAAAACATAGGAAAAATAGCTATTTTGACATTGTACATGTACAAACATTTGTCATTTAATGTTGAAAACAAAACAATATTTTTGTCAAATGATCATACATGTATTCTTTAATATTGCTTATCACATAAACAGCTATACAAATGTACAAAGTAGAAGTATTATTTCTATCTTACTTATTGATAAAAAAAATCAGTACTTTCCTAATACTGTTTCTACTAGAGTCTTAAAAAATAATATGGCATACTTCATTGTACTTGGGGAAATAACTGGAAATGGTCTTATTAAAAGATGAATCACAGATCTGATCTTAAATTACAACAGGACTTTATCAAATAAGATAGAAAAAGGGCATGGAGGCAATTTTTTTTCCAGAAAAAGGGCATGGAGTCAAGAAAAATTGACAGGGTGCTATACCACGCCAAAACCTCCTGTAGGAAACACTAACTTTCTTTTGGCTGAATCGGCATCAAAGGTCCTTCTTTATCATGCTTAGAGTCGCAAGTATCATATCTAACAAAGCACATGTAAACCATTCTTTATGGAGAAAGTAAAGAATACAATAACCTTTATTTCTGTTAATTGTACAATCTTTTCTGTAGTTCAAAAGAATCAAGATTTCAGGGAGTATGCTAATAATGTAACATGAATGAAAATTGAGCATAATATCCTAACTATAACATGTATAAATCATTCTGTATATTTAGTGGTAGGAATGAGCCATTGGTTTAGGTAACTTTTCGATGCCATAATATTTTAATAAGGTACAAACATGAGATGAAATACAATAAAAGATTGTTTACTCTGAGACTACTTTATAGTAGTCTCAGGTTTACTGTACATCAAATGTAAACTTTAATAAAAAAATTATGCAAATCATGTTGTCAGGTATATTTAGTATCCACAACTATTCAGTTTGTGATACATGTATTTATATCAGTCAGGGGACTTATTGAAATAAGTGATTTTTAAATCACTTATTTAAGTAGCAAATGCGAAGTTTTGTCACAAATTGTGATGTTGTAGTTTTACCAAAATTTTAAACACATAGGTTTAGATAATATCTTTTCATTAGTAAAATTGAAAAAAAATAACTTTTTGCTTCTTTTAAGCAGCAAGGTTTATGCTTTTGATGCAATCATTTAGCTGCAAATTCTATTTTAGTTGAAAAAATGCTATAAAAATGGCTTTACATAATGAACTGATACTTTCTTCACAGATTTTTCCCAGCAGTGGGAGTATTTTTCCTGTAAAATTCAAGGTTTCATCTTATAGATTATGTAATAAAATTCTACTGTTCGCCATAAAAATTTCACTGTTCGGGGGTGTTGAAATTAGTGGGGGTTATTAAAATAATGATACTTGAAGTGATTTTTTGGAAGGAAATTGAGGTATGATACTTAAACAAGTGATTTTTTATGTCATTATCCTAGATTTAGTACAAGGTCATCACCTGACATGACCCGGTCATCCTATCAACACAGATGTTGGTTCTGATAATTTTAGCAACATAATTAGTCCCTGGATCATTAGTATTCTATATTTAAAGCTACAAAAAAATTAAATCACTCAGTCTAGTGAATAATTTGTACTACTTAAATAGGTGATTATTAAAGAAAGACAACTTTTACTTCCAACTTTTATGGACATAATGTTACTTGAATCAGTGATTTAGAAAATCACTCATTTAAGTAAGTCCCCTGACTGTAAATTCAACAATCATTAATCAATTAATCATTTGTCAATCTGATTATTACATGTGTAACTAAATAATATATTTAGCACATCCAATCTTTTGATGTAGAGATCATTACCTTTGTGATAACAGGTATGGCCTGTGTTTATTTTCTTGCTTTTGGGAGGATATGAGGATATGATGTCCTGATTTTCCCCACAAATCACAAAGAAATTTACCTGTCCTTGATTTGTTTTACCTGGAAATTAATTCTTATGTAAATCTTATGTTTTTTTCAGTTTAAAATATTCATTAATATTGTTCTAAATAAACAACTGGATTAAACACAGTTTTTTGTAAAATAAGCTACAAAACCTGTATATATATATGGTAACACAACTATTATGATAAGGATATGTATCAGGTGTCAAAGTTGACCACCTTACCATAATTAGGTTATTGTGGCAATAAAATCAGGAGTATCTCAAGGTACATTGATATTCCTTTTGTATATCAATGATATTGGAGATGGAGTCCAGTCAAAGTTGTGCCTTTTTGCAGATGATATCCTTTTTGTACCTGGCAATAGATTGTACTGATGACTGCAATCAGTAACAAAAAGATCTTGACAAACTGCCTATTGGTTGACTGGGCATCTAAATGGCCATTGATGGCAGATGAAACTTAATGTGTCAAAATGCTATGTATTAAGAATTTCCAACAAGAAAAAACCTATAATGCATAACTACCAGATGCTCGGCCAAATTTTGGAAGATGTAGGCCAAAACCCAAATTTAGGCTTTCAGTTCAACAACAACCTGAAATGGGATATATACATCAGTAACATCTTAGCTAAAGCTAATAAATCATTAGGCTTCCTGAGAAGAAATATCAATAAATTCCCAGAAGAAATTAAGAAAAGAGCATACCAAACTATTGTAAGACCAAATGTAGAACAAGCTGGCAGTGCAAACGGGATCCATACATTTGTACCTGTCCAGGAAAATCACATAAAAAAGATAGAAATGGTGTAAAGAAGATCTGCCACCAACCTAAATTCAGAAATCTTCAAACATCAACCAACACTTACAAATACAACTTTTTTCCTTGTACCATCAAAGACTGGAACAGCTTAGGGAGCAACCATTTAACTTCAAGGAGGGGGGGGGGGGGGGTTATGGTTTTTTGCCTGAGTCAGAATTTTTTTTTAGCACAAAGCACAAACATTTTTTTAGTTTTTCAACACTATCAATCAAATTTTTCTTTTAAAAATTTAACACTTATAAGGTATGGGGACAATCTGGATTCAGAATATTTTTTTTTGTCACCTGCTAGACCACAAATTGGGGATCAAAATATTTTTTTAGGAAAAAACCATAACCCCCCTTGAAGTTAAATGGTAGTTCCCTTACCAACAAAACTATTAAATATAGATGATTGGGAGGCATTTGCGAACAGCCTCACATCTTATTTCATAGACATAATAAGAGGTAGTCATGCAAGAAATATTAATTTTAATTTGAACATGTAAATATTGTAACATTTTTATATGTTAGGTCAAGCATGTTATCTGATTGTATCAGGTTTACATACATCTGTATTTTCACACATAGCCATTTAATACAGTTAGAGATCATCAGAGATTATATTAATTAGGAGTTATATTTAGATTTCTTTGTTTGACTAGTGAGCCCTTATGATTTGCATATGGTGCCCTAGTAAATTTATGTAAGGAGCACAGAACACTAGGAGCCCGGATCACCGGAGCACCTGGATTACCGGAGCACCCGGACTTCCGGAGCACAGACTACACGGAGCCCGGTTGCCCTAGTAGTCTATATTTGTATACGGGCTTGTAGGAGTCATATAAAAGAGAGAAAGAGCGTGAGATAAGGAGGAGAGAGAATTTATAGTGAGGAGAGGACAGTTACGTTTGTAGAGTAGAGAGGAGAACCATATTGTTGAGCCTGAAGTTAGATGTACATTTTGTTATACTTGTATAATGTGATTTTGATAATACAGTATTGAACTTTTATTCGACTTCGTGTTTATGTTCACTTACAAGACTTCGTTCAGACTGCACTAGGATCCATTTATTTATTTATGTGACCAGGATTCCCTTAATCACGCTACCAGTAGATTTCAAGGGTAACCCTGTTAAAGAGTATACTTGGCATTTGTCGTCCGTGTATGAGTGAAAGGCACGACCTGAAACTTATACACCCAACAACACGGCACAACCACAAGAATACACACTTTAGTTCAAGTACCATACTAAACTTTTTCGTCACATTGGTGGCAGCGGTGGGATTTACTGTGTGTGACTTCAACGAACTTGTTATAATATAATGGAAACACCAAGAAGAAGAATAAGGACATCAACTCAGGCTCCAACGCTCTCTCAGGTAAGGCAGAATTGCTTAAGAAACCAGATATTTTCCACAGCAGATTCTGGGTTAGGTAGTTCGCCTGCCACTGGTACTCTCCATGATGTTCACACGGAGACTATGCCAGATATCCGGTATCGCCGGAGAATCAGGCATTGTTCACCGAGGAACAATCAGGATAGAGCTGTCCAGGAGATGAGCAATACGCAAAGTGGTAAAGAAAATGGTTGGAAGAAATTTTGGCAAATATGGATTAGTTTGCTTACTTTCAGTAGCGGCCTCATTGCAACAGCATGGATTTATTTTCCTACCAATAGGGCAGTACAGAAGCCCCAGGAATATGTAGTGATTGGATTATTAGCGATAATATGCCTGATAATTTCAACGATAGTTTTGAAATTAGTATGGAATTCCGTCATTACTGGCTATAATTCAGAAAACACTGCATATACATTGTACATGGTCCAGGAACAGGCGAAGCCCTAATCATATGTATAATGGGCTAAGCCGTACTCCGGATAATGTTATCACTGATACTGGTACGCCCTATGACTCAGATGAAATGCCCTTGTACTCGAGCCCTTGGCCTAATTGCCCTGTTATAAACAGGCAAAGGCAAATGGAGTTTGAGTCACCCGGGCATACATCGGAAAACATGGGCTTATCACTAGGACATGTCCAATTGCCAGAGTCTGATAGTATAGAAAATGAATGTACTGACATAAACGGAACAACTACGGAATACCCGAATACTTGTATCCGTGGAAGGAACGTTCCTCCATCTAATGAATATCCTGTACGGAGGACCTTTTCCGGAGCAAGGAATGATGTTTGGAATGAGTTTATTCAATACTTCGAGAAGATATCCGAGTTAAATGTATGGAACAATGAAAAGTCACGAAGGGTCCTACTAAGCACTCTTAGGGGTCAAGCGGAGACGTATGCATACAGGATGCCAGTTATAATACAGAGAGATAATAATCGTCTTAAACAAAAGATGGAAGAGAGATTTGGACATACGGCGATGAAAGAAAGGTATGTGACAGAGGCAAAACTGAGAAAGAGAAAACCGGAAGAATCTTTGAGAGATTTTGGTCAAGCCATATAGGATTTGTACCGTAGAGCGTATCTGGGCAATCCTGAGATTGATGAGGAGAACTCTATTAAAGCGTTCCTTGACAAGTGCAGACAGTCAGAAGATTTTCGCCTTGCTATCAAGCGAACCAGACCTAATACCCTGCAAGAGGCGGTAATTAATTCAATGCAGGAAGAATGCTTAAGAGTAGGAGAAAAGGACCTCGCCAAGCATTTCAAACCAGTTCAGCGGCCTATATTTGAAGTTGAAGACGGGGATAGTGATGAAGATGTAACTGCAGAAGCAGAAGGAACACGAAGAGAAAATTTCGACAGAAATAAAGTTCCTGATAATTACCCACGGAATAACGGTAAAGGATCCCAAGGGCGATTCTATAACCGTGATATATGGCATGGAAGAGACAGATCCCCGATGTTTAAAAATCGTCCACCAGAATTTCCGGAACCGAGAAGGGGACCGTAAAGATTCTGGAGAGACAGATTTACGCTGAGGAGATTGACACCAGAGGCCAGGTGTGGGTCATCCGGCATTGGACGGTCTAATGAAAAGAAAAAAACCCACAATGAAACGACGGAAGAAGACAGTGAATAAACCAAGTAACTTTATAAACAGATGTTTATTTATTGTGTAAACTATGTTGTTTTATACAGAAGTTTTTCTGTGTTTGTTTATAAAGTAGAAGTTTAGCTTTATTTGGTGCTCGAAACCCATTACATTTTTATGGTGTCTCGAAGCCCTTTAAAATTACAATATGTCGCTTGAAACCCTTCAATCATGGTGTCTCAATGCCCATTAAACAATGATTAACTACATTTTTTTAAGACCAGTTAACTCCATTGTTTTGAAAGTCTTAAATCTAAAACTATTATGTAGACTTAAAATATATCATTGTCAGCACTATATAATTTTTGTATTTTTGTTATATTTCTTATTTTTAATAAGTGGTGCTTATTTTACATAGACTTAAATTTTGTTCGCAAAATTAGTTTAAAGTAATTTTGTTTATATGGAGCCCTGTGACCCTTGTTATTTACTTGGTGTTACCTGGCCCAATTTTGAGTGTACGTTTAAACATTTTAAAGAATCAAATCTTGGATTCCGATGGTTTTTTATATTCCATGATAAAAATATGATATCTCTGTAAGTTGTGTTAAGTTTTGTTATTTAGAATCGCATACATTGTAATACACAAAACTAGTTAGGGGTGCTATTTTTATATTTTAAAAAGTTATGATAAGGTTTTTTTTATTATCATCTATCTCAGGCTACATGTACATTTTTGTTTTTATATATTGTTTGACTAGTGAGCCCTAATGATTTGCATATGGTGCCCTAGTAAATTTATGTAAGGAGCATGGAACACTAGGAGCACCTGGATTACCGGAGCAACCGGACTTCCGGAGCACGGACTACACGGGGCCCGGTTGCCCTAGTAGTCTATATTTGTATACAGGCTTGTAGGAGTCATATAAAAGAGAGAAAGAGCGTGAGATAAGGAGGAGAGAGAATTTATAGTGAGGAGAGGATAGTTACGTTTGTAGAGAAGAGAGGAGAACCGTATTGTTGAGCCTGAAGTTAGATGTACATTTTGTTATACTTGTATAATGTGATTTTGATAATACAGTATTGAACTTTTATTCGACTTCGTGTTTATGTTCACTTACAAGACTTCGTTCAGACTGCACCAGGATCCATTTATTTATTTATTTATGTGACCAGGATTCCCTTAATCACGCTACCAGTAGATTTCAAGGGTAACCCTGTTAAAGAGTATACTTGGCATTTGTCGTCCGTGTATGAGTGAAAGGCACGACCTGAAACTTATACACCCAACAACACAGCACAACCACAAGAATACACACTTTAGTTCAAGTACCATACTAAACTTTTTCGTCACAATATGTTTTTAATGAGCAACATATTGAATAACTGATATAGTATAATGAATGATGGGCCATAGACCCTTTGCACAGCTTCAAAGATGTAGATGATATTTAAAGATTAAATTCAGATGTTTATATATGCACCCCCTCTTTTTCTTTTCACCCCCTGCATCAATATCATTTCTCCAACACCTTTGCTACGTTCCACTGCCTACTCTTAATCTAAATAGACATCAAAATATAACTAATCTGCTCATATACAATGTAGCTGTTTTTTTAAATAACATACCAAAACTGTCACATTTCAATGTTCTGTCATTGCCACCGGAACCGACTTTAAACAACCACTCTCCTCTCAAGTCCTCGTAAGTGCAGTTAGCGGGAGTGTCGCCGTTTACAGACGCTATGATAGAAAGAAGAAACAGAAAACATTGCAGAGCGTACAGGATGCCCATGTTGACTACAAACAAAAGCGACAGTCAACTATTTTATTGTTCAAAAACATATGATGTTCACATGACTTTTTACCTCTGTCACGTGATATTAGGTTCAGTCATGGGACATGCAAAATTAAATATTTTACACTGACCGTGACTAAACACAAATGTCGCGAGGTTATACTGTACATATAGCGAGCTGTGCATTTTTATACGCCCGTCAATTTTTGACGGGACGTATTATGGTATACAAATGTCCGGTGTCCGTCCGTCTGTCCGTCTGTCTGTCCGGCGTAAACATGTCGCACCGTAACTTGAGAATGACTTATCCAAATTTCATGAAACTTAACATAGTTGTTTCTTATGATGGTCAAACGATCTGTATACTTTTGGTGAAAATAAGATTAAAATTTTTTGAGTTACGGGACTTAGTAACTAAAACAGGTGTGTGTTTTTTTCACATGTCGCGCCGTATCTCAAAAACAATTTATGATTATTGCTTAAAACTTTACACACTTCTTAGTTATATTAATCTTAAGATCTGTATACTTTTTGGTGATGATTCAAAATTTTATTTTAGAGATATTGAGTATTTTGTTAAAAAAGGGGGAGGGGTTTTTCACATGTTGCGCCGTATCTCAAAAACAGTTTATGATTATTGCTTAAAACTTTACACACTTCTTAGTTATATTAACCTTAAGATCTGTATACTTTTTGGTGATGATTCAAAATTTCATTTTTGAGTTATCAGGGGCGTAGTTACCCGGAGGCACGGCAGCACGTGCATCCACGTCGTTTTCACACACAAAAAAGGGAAAAAAAAACAGAGAGAAAGAGGGGTACAAAGTTAACATATATAGGAATTTGTCTTTCTATGTATGCATTTTAAAAACAACACAAAGAATAAAAGCAAGAGGAATACACATGCAGCGAAATTTTTAATCATGTAAGACATGTATGTGTACCATAAATACATACCACTGGTGTAAACTTTTTATATTATTGTTTAGAAAATACCAGCTACATAGTTGTCGGTACCACCACCATAACGTAGACTCGCTTTAATTGAGTGCAAAAAAAAAACATAATCCCTTTAGGGTTAACAAAAAAACTTGCAAATTATTATTTCCGCTTCGCCCAATAGCACACATCTTACTAGAACGAAGACTCTTCAACTCGTATCGATCCGGGAATAATGACTGTTACCTTGTGAACTAGTTCAAAATTGACTAAGTATGTAGGTCTTGACAACACGAATAGTTCATTTTCACATCACGTCAACGTATTCTTGTCCTGGTGTGCATTTAATATTTGCTACCGGACATTAATAACCATTCCATCAATCAATAGTTTCCGTATACTAGCAGATGAGAAGTTGGAACTGCTGTTATTATAAAAAAAAGTACATATTTTCCAGTACATGTATTACGTTTTCATCTGTTTTACAAAAAAACATCTTGTATATAGATTCAATAATTGGAAGTCGTTTCTATATGCCTTTGGGCCGGCTATACGAATGGTTGATTGTTAAAGCATTTAAATAAATTGTTAATTCTAACTCGTTTTACTAGACTATTTGGTCACTCAATTTTATAATGAATTTTCTGTCCGAGTCGGACACTAAACTGCTGATTCTTGTTCGAAAGATACACCAAACTTTTAATACACGTATCTTCACTGTTATCATCTAGATATTGCCATACAACTGGTCGAATGCATATGTATTTGTTAATTAGCTGGATAATAAACAAACGCAGATCATGAAAAAGATCGTGATCAAAGTACCATTCCCTATGAAAAAGTTCATTAATTTCAACTTCGACAATTCCTAACTGCGTAAAATTAGAAATTCATATCCCTCTCTCTTGTAGAGTTTACCCACAAAATTTTTAAACATCTAATTACATATGTTAAGCAAAATATTGGAGAATGCGTTCACCAAGTATTTGGTATCCAATGATGTTTATGCTAACAGAAACTCCACTTATAGTATTGTGTTTATGTTTATTGTTTGTTTTTTATACTTCTTTGCTCAATACAAATACTAGCATATGGAACAATTAATCTTCGTGATTTTAAAAGCTTTCACGGCGTACAAAAAACTCAAACGACAATGTTTAGTCTTCATTCGACTCGAAGTTAAATAAATAGTTGACAAAAAAACACAACAAAAATGTCCAAGTTTTATTACGGTTGTGATTGTTTTGAAACGCTATATATGCGGAGCTTACGGGGGCTTCGCCCCCCCTGGACCCCCTACCAGGCATACTGGGGGCCTAAGGCGGCCCCCAGACCCCTCGCCCTTTAGTTTGTGATTCCACTTCATTTAGAAGGTAGCTACGCCCCTGGTTATTGAGTATTTTGTAAAAAAAGGGGGAGGGGTTTTTCACATGTCGCGCCATATCTCAAAAACGATTTATGATTATTGCTTAAAATTTTACACACTTCTTAGTTATATTAATCTAAAGATCTATACTACTTTTTGGTTTTGATTCAAAATTTTATTTTTGAGATATTGATTTTTTTTTAAAAGGGGGGTTTTCACATGTCGCGCCGTATCTCAAAAACGATTTATGATTATTGCTTAAAATTTTACACACTTCTTAGTTATATTAATATAAAGATCTGTATACTTTTTGGTTTTGATTCAAAGTTTTATTTTAGAGATATTGAGTTTTTTGTAAAAAAAAGGGGGGTTTTCGCATGTCACGCCGTATGTCAGAAACTATTTATGCTTATTCACACACAATACGACGGGCGTATCATGCGCTCATGGCGCAGCTGTTTATTTAGTTTATTGAAGCTCACTTTGCATGTATGTTACACAAACTTATGCCATCATTTAGCGTCCGTCGTAAACTTACTTGAAAACAAATCTTCTCCATTGTTCCCACAAAGACAAACGAAGGCTTTTCTGTAATGGTGTATGGCATCATCCGGTTATCTGCAAACTTCCCGAAAAAGATGTATCTTGTTAAATAGTGCAATGGGAACAGGACTGGCAAATGAATTTTAATCCTGAAAAATGTTATGTAATACACTGTGACATCTCTAAAAAAATTAACCCTTCCGCTTTTGATTATACATTGCATAATCATGTTTTAGAATCAGTAAATGCCAGTAAATATTTAGGCGTAACTATAAGCCATGATCTTGACTGGGGAACACATATAAACAATATTACCTGCAAGACAAATAAAAACTTAGGCTTTCTTCGTAGAAACTTAAAAAATGCACACGTAAGGTTAAAAACCTTACGAACACATCACTTGTCCGTCCAGTCGTCGAATACTCTTCCCCTGTCTGGGATCCGTACAAAAAGCACCCTGACATCACTCATGTTGAGCAGATTCAGCGTAAAGCAGACAGATTCGTCTATAATGATTATAAAACACCGGGAGCAGTTTCCTACATGATTAATCCTTTACAATGGGAAAGTTTATCAATACAATAGACGAAAAAAAGCTAGATTAACTATGCTATATGAAATTAATTGGGGGTTAGTAGAAGTTCCAAAGGATCAAAATCTGATAGACGTACTCATGATGGGGCAACATAAATTTCGGCAAATAGCAACCAATAAAGACTTCTATAAATTTTCTTTTTATCCGAACACTATCTCTGATTGGAATTCACTACCTGAAGCAATAGATATGTCTGACACCCAGGAATCCTTCAAAAGTGGCATATCCACTCTAACATTTGAAGGACCCACACCAACTTATTAAACTACCAAAGCCACTGTACATAATGTATATATGTTATTCTACAGACTATTTTTCTTTATTGTTTATAATAATTTTAATTAAGTCCATAATTATGTACATAGCACACAAGTTCCGGGAAGTTTTACACTCCTACCTTGGAGTCTACTCCCGTATTCGGAAGAAGAAGAAGACATATCTGAAGAAGACTCAGTTTATATCTTGAGAGCAAAACTGACATTCTGTACACAGGCACTTGTCTCAGAAAAAAAAATCCTATATATACCTTAATACAACATTTTTTCTGAGACAAATGCCTGTGATTCTGTAGGGTAAATCTGAGATCAATAGGTCAAGATCTACCTGTCCTGTATTTTCAGAAAAACTGGATTGCTAATTTTGGAGTAATTTCACCTGGAATCATTGGGTTAATTTTATCAAATTTCTATCAGCGCATGGCTATTATCTTGAAAACATATATAGCGGACAAAGAAAACCTTTAGGTAGCAAAAATAAGACCTATGAATATATCAATGTATCAGATATCGTCAATTGACTATTACAGTTTTCAAGATAATATTCAAAAATGTAAATTGGGTGAAAGTTGTCTTTGAAAGGCAACATGAGTTGATCGGTTAATTTTGGTAGTCATGTTGACAAAGTCGTAGAAATTATTTTTCTGGTCAGTTTTGCTATATACAGTTTCATGCTATCTACTCTGTTATTTGGGCCAGAGATGTGATTCGCACCTAAATGAGTGGATATTGGATCAATTTCTATGAAATTTCTATGAAATTATGTCTGATGAAGGTTTCCCTGGAGTAAACACAATTCCGAAAAAACCGAAACATTGCGTACATAGCACAGTATCAATGTAAGTTCAGAGATACGATTCGCACCTAAATTGGTGGATATTGGATCAATTTCTATGAAACTATATCTGATGAAGGGTTTCCCTGGAATAAACGCAATTCCGAAAAAAACCCCGAAACATTGCGTACATAGCATAGTATCAATGTGAGGCCATGCATATATACATGTATGATTCGCACCTAAATGGGTGGATATTGGATAAATTTCTATGAAATTTGGGTGGATATTGGATCAATTTCTATTAAATTGAGACTTCACTTTTCTGTGTATCAGATTTATATAATTTTTTTGTTTTTGTTTGTTAGTTTTAAAAGCATAAGCAAACATACGATAGATCTTTGTATATTACGGAAGTCTTGTAATTGATTTTGGGATACAGTACGCGCTGGTCAACTTGTATTCATTCGTCTTCGTTTTTTCTACTGAAGCAACATTCTTTACCCTTCCGGAGAACCTTAAATCACCCCCAGTATTCAGTGGAGTTCGTGTTCCTCCGTCTTTAGTTTTCTATATTGTGTTTTGTAGACGGTTGTTTGTCTTTTGGTCGTTTTTCATTTTTTGGCCATGACATTATCAGTCCGTTTTCGACTTATGAGTTTTAATATACTTTTAGTATCTCCCGTCTCTCGTTTGCTTATCACTTGCTTATTATAAAACGTTAACATTGTCAGTTGTTTTCGTTTAGACAGAGAAACGTGCTTAAAATTCGAATAAAAAGAAACACGTTATATCTTTTATGAGTATTTAAAAAAAATATATTTATCCATCGTTAGGAGTTCCTATAATAACCTGATATAAAAACATTTAGTACTGGCGTGATTACAATGGTTTTTTTTTATGTGAATTTTTAGATTATACATTATGCAATACAACTAAACCTTAAATTGCAACTCTCAATGAAGATTTGATCTTAGATGACTTTGACCGCTCTGTTTATGTCAGTATCATACGTTTTTAACATCACAATATATTGCATTACAGATCTACAAATTTTGTGATTTGGATAAAAAAGAATTTTAATTATAAATGTTGAATTTATTTTAAAAAAGAAAAACGTCATACATTCTGTTAAAAAATGATTTTTGTGCTTATCTAAAGATGTTTCGATTTCATTTTACAGAATTTATTTGCTTATAGATTATATAACATTAACCATTTATTACGGATTTGTCAATCATTTATAAGAGAGTTTAAATTTCAAAATCATTAGATTGAATAATGGGGTTCGATTCATCAAAATAAAGAAGTGGTAAGTTTCTACTTTTCTGTGTTTAATTTAGGACTTCCTATTTTAATTGTTGTTGGTCAATTGCTTGCTCCCCTTTGATTTTTCTCTCCCTTGACGCAATTTGACACCCGCAAATGTTTTATATTTTTGGCTTTTTAAATAATTGGTCTTGATTATATTGCATCAATACGTGTCGTCCGTATCAATAAATTCTAGAATTTAGATTAGACAGGTTCCACAGAAATAATGCAATCCTTGCATTACTTTCCTATCCGTATACTAAATGTGTTTTACCAAATTTTCGAGGATTATTAGATTTGTAGTAATTTAAATACACCACGTCTGTTGAAATCAACCCTTACCCAATAATAAAATTTTTTACTTCCAAATATATATATACATTTTGAGTTAAATTTTTACATCGCTTTGCATTTTTCATCAAGCAAGCTGTAATACATATTGATATAATATTTTAACCGATATATTATGTTCAAGAAGGTTTTTTTTTTCGGAAACACCGCCTTGAACATGTTATATCTGTTTAATTACACTACATTTCATAGAAATGCCGAAGTTTCACCTTGATAGACATTTAATTCCATTAATTTTTATTCAAGACGTTGACAAAAACAACCGAATTTTATTAAACGCACGATTGATCAAGCGTCTCCGTGAATTGTCAAAAAGGTATATACATTTGTACTTTTTGACAAATACTATGGGAGAGAAGGTAAAAAAGGCATATCCTTGTGCGTATACCGGAATTGATAAAATAGGAACAATATTCATCTTTTTTTTTAAAGAAAGTGCTTTAAAAATACACCAGCTATTAACCAATGAAAATCCAGGATACTCATCTTAGGTGTAATTATATGAAAAATGCAATGATTTTTTCTTCTTCTCTAAAAATATCCTTTTGGTATAACTGGCTATGTTAATGTCAATGTATGACTTTGGTTTACTTTTCATACACGAACGATGAAGTTTTGTCCAATATTCACGACAGGTAAGTATGATGTCAATTTATATTTCCTTTTTAGTGGAAAAGAGCAGGGACCAATGTAACTTATTGAGTTATTCAGTCTATCTGCTCCCCCGCTAGGCTGTAAAAAAAAATGAAAACACAATTTATAGATTGCATGTGTCCGAATGGCTTTTCTGGATTAACTTTCATCAGGAATACTCAAAGCCGAAAATTTGAAAGCCAAGGGCGTATAAGAGAGGAAACAGTTTAAGAGCTATATGACCAAAAAGCACCAATTATTATAGCCAAATCCATCTACAGTCAACTTTGCTATAGTGAATTGAAACCTTAGTATCACCGATTTTTTACTAGCCATGAGCAACATGACATATGCTACGTAGTTTCTGAATGGTTTCTAAATTTATAAACGGACAACTAAAACAAAGGTTTGTTATTGATTATGTCAGCACCGAAGAACTGAGTACCTAGCTGATGATACCCTCGGGGACCGATATTTCACCAGCAGCGGCATCGAACCAGTCTGTAAAAATGAAAACAACACTTTATATATTGCATGCTTCCAAAGCGCTTTTCTGGATTTACCATCATCAAGATTGTTGAAAGCCGAATATTTAAAAGCCAAGGATGTATAAGAACTGAAAAGTAACAAGCTATACCGTAAATTGGAAAATTTTTAGTGTTGCGTTATTTTCGTGTGTTTAATTATGGCACCTTCTTTGGAGGCGCCAAATAAATCAAAATAAAACTACTACCAAAATAACCCAATTTACGGTATGACATTAAAGATGTTGAAAATGTACACAACGAATCTCACCCAAGCGGTCATGTGCAAAAGGTGTGTAAACAACATTAAATAAACGAATAACTATTGATAAATTTGAAAGTTAAATTGTAATCAGATCTATTATATGTACGACACAATTAGCGATTATGCCTCGTTTATTGTTTAAAGTGAAAACGAAATAAGAAAAATGCTTTATAAATAACCTCATCATAGACACAAGGCTGAACATTCTGTACGCGAGACGTGCGTTTCGTCTACAAAAGACTCATCGGTGACGCTCGAATAAAAAAACTGAAAATGGACAAATTGAGTACGAAATCGAAGAGCATTGAGGACCAAAAATTCCAAAAGGTTTATTATAACAAAAACTAAATTCGAGATATACAATAATCCTTCAAGATTAAGTTATCTAAACATGACAAAACTGAGAAAGTAGATCGAGGTAATATTGATTTATTTAAATTGAGGTTTTGTCTTCTTTGATACTGATAGAATGCTACGATTTAAATGCTCTTGAACTTCGTACTTGATTTGGCCTTCCAAATTTTCAGTTTTGAGTCTTATACTTTTTATCAACGAGCAATTTAACTAAACTAAATAAATATTTCTTCTGCTAGTAACGCATGGTTGACATTTGACTCTAAAAACCATTATCTGTTATAGAAAAATATGGAATTTAGATAACAATTTCCTATTCACTGTTTGTTTAAGATAATGTTGATAGCATCACATCGATTTTCACCAAGCTTCCTGTTTACTCTAGGTTTAATGTCAATATCCTTATGAAATGTATTGACAAAAAATATTCGACGAAACTGATTATAACAGATCATGTGTCCACGCTTTCCTTACAAGCATCTGATAACACTCCGTTCTATTTTCTGTTCTGGTAAGATCAGCAAATGTTGCAGCCTTAATTTTTGTTTGCTATAATCTTGAAAACTATAACAGATAGAGAGAAATTGTAACAGCAGAAATGATCATCTTGACAAGATGCACAAAACAAAAGAATCAAATGATCAAAATCCTCAGTTGATGAATGTACTCCTGTAAGCAATTATTTTGCTCTTCAATTCTATAGCTAGTAGATAGCGAGAAAACTGTACACTTAAGTCAGCATGACTACAGAAATGAACAATCAACTCATATTGCCATTCAGAAACAGTTTTCACCAATATTTTGGTATTCTCTTGAAAACTAATAACTTAAGAGAAAAATTGTAATCAGCTAAAAGAATCCCCAGAAAAATAACATCTACAAGTATAAGTCAACATAACTGTAATTGTCAATCCTGTCCTCATAAGAGTTATATCCCTGAAATGATGAGTTTTACCCTTTTTGTGTTTTTGCCATCATAATGAAACAATAATAGATAGAGAGAAACGGTTTTCTACAAAAGTGAACATTCAGATAAAATCTTCAAATTAGTTAGCATAACTTTAATTGTCAACCAACTCCATAAAGGAGTTAATTTAATGCTTTTCAATCAGTGACCATTGCATTTTTGACTATTAGCGTTAGAACTATATAGATGTAGAGAAACTGTGAAAAGTTCAAATAATCAGCAAGATAAGATCTACAAATAGTTGCACATAATTATGTGAATCTGAATAGAAAAAAGTATTACAAAAATACCGAACTCCAAGGCAAATTCAAAAAAGGGGAAGTCCACAAAAACTGACAGATTCAAACGCTATCAATTAATGGAACAAATGATAAAAAACAACTGCCATATTTCTGACTTGGTACAGGCATTTTCCGAAGAAAATGTTGGGTTAAACCTGGTTTATAGCTAACTAAACCTTCCACTTGTATAACAATTGTTTATAGATCTGTTATATTGACAAAATTGGGTAAGCAACCCAAACATACATCATAGATTTGGCACAATTTTACTAAGAATGTGAAGGATGGTTTTCACTTTTTGCTAATGCTTTTAATGCTGTATGGTTTACCAGGTTAGTGATTCTAGCTCATAGGAGCCTCAAGTTAGACCACAAGGACAATTGTTTTAACTCTTACTTGGAATAAATCGCCAGTCATGATATTTTCTGTACACCACTAAGTCAAATGAAACTAATCTTGGACTGAGTCTTCTATTTTCATTGATCAAGCTTTCAAAATTCCAGTATATATCCGTTGATGCTTCAGGCAATATAAATATCTGTATTATATTATCATTGATTTAAGACGAGACTTAACAACAGTCTACTCAATGGATATAAGAAATTAAAGGCAACCGTACGGCTTTTAACAACGAGGAAAACCCATACCGTATAGTCGGCTGTAAAAGGCCCCGACATGAAAATATGAAACAATTCAATTTTGAAAATTAACAGCACAACAATAGAACTAACTATACAAATCAGTTGAAAAAGGCCTTACTCATCAGATCGATACAAAACAGAAAAACATCAAACATAAACACAGACTGGACGTGGTAGGGTACTTATCTATCCCTCATCCCTTTCAACAAAAAGGGACATTAAGTACAGATCTGAGAGTACTCGCAGTTACTGACAGCTAGTGCAAAGCCAATAAAAACTTATAAAAAAATTATGTATCTAAGACTTAATTATCAATCAGTACACATCCAACATCTAATGGATTTAGTGTAAAGACGTCATTAACAGTCAGAGAAAAACATGCCCTTGCGCAATGCCAAAATGCCAAACGATCGACAGATTGTAGTACCGTTAAAGTGCATATGTGTATGACCAAACTATTAGTATGATTTTAATTTACTGATAACGAAATCAATATTTATACCAATAAAAACAATATTCAAAGATCTAATTACAGTGTTGAATTGGTAACATTTTACAACACTTTTATTTAAAGGATTGATAAGTTTACCCGGATCGTATAAAATTTCCGGGTTCAGTGAACAACATCACCGTAAAATCTAGGATGTGCTATTCCGTCTGAAATAAGTTTTTTACAGGTAAAGCCAAACTTGCGAACCAAATATTTGTATCTAGGAAGAATTTAGTAAAGTTTTAAGTAATTTGTGGTCATGAAATCCCTGACTTAATAATTTACCAGTAATACATAGATTACGTTCATTGAAATCCAAAACGTCATTTCAGACACGGGCATAACGAACGAGTTGGGATATATAAACACCGTATGATGGTGCCAGAGGAACATCACCGTCCAAAAAAGGAAAATTAACAATAGGGGAAGAAAAAACATTCCTTTTGTCGTATTTTTTTGTGTAGAGTTTCTGGTGTAAAACTGAAATATCTTAAT